TATCACTGAAAAATATACACTTTCAGTTAAGTCTCTTCAGCAGTTACTATTTTCAGATTTGAAAGTATTTCATACAAATCTTTTAATTAATATTCTCAAAATGAGACAATTCAATTTTTAAATCAAATGCAATAAAAACAGGTTGTTTTACTGCAACAGTGTAAATAGGAAGTCTCACATTGGACACTATTAAGTACATGGAAAACACCAAAATAACCCTATGCTTGCTTTCCTGAAGAAGTGCAAATTCTTGTCAGAGATTTAGTCAGTTAAATATCTCAATAAAATTATGTTAATACTTCTCTAATTGTTGAAGATATGAAAGAAATACAAGACAGGAAAGAGGAGCTGTGAGATTACTTCACATTCACCCAGTACTGTGTTCTTAAATATTCTTCAGAAGGATGTGGTACTATCACCAGTTTCAGTGACTACCTATTAGGTCAGTTGGACCTGGAATCTCATCCTGTGTGGCACTTCCTTCCCTCCACGTTTCAGTCATCACACTTTTGCAAGTAAACCTGCTTTTCCTGAATACACTGCTCTCCTTAACCTAGAAAAGACGACTCCTTCTAACTGATAAATGCATGCAAATTTCCATGAGAGTCAAAGATTTTCACAAAGACATTGAGAACAAAGGCAGGCAGTTACATAAAACCAGTCTGCTAAATTATGCCTCCTCTTGAGCATAAACGAAGGAAAGACGCCCCTAACACCACTATTAATAGGACTTATCTTAGTAGGGGTGCAGGCAACAGCACTGGAGGAAAGGAATTACCTGCTGACAGCTTGTAAATAAGACTTTCTGTTCTTTTGTGTCTGCTCACAGCTCTGGGCAACAGTTACCTTCCTCTAATTGCTGACTGCATAGGTTGAAGGTTAGAGAGGCTAAACTTATATAAGCTTTAGCCCTTTGGCTAAAATCACCCCCATCACCTCAGACCCCAAACTGTTTAGGCAACAACAGAATAAATCACAAAATACTTAAAGCTCGGTTTTTCCTTGGCACTGTACACTGGAAAAATTCTTTCCTCTCTGTCCTGACTGACTACCTCTACTGCTCAGTCCCTAAATGACAACCGACAGAGGGTAAAAAAACGGATACAAAACAGAGAGTCAAATACCAGCTCTCCTACCACGCTATACCAAATCCTTCCCCAGGCTATGATCCCCTAGGTATGATCTCCTTTTATCAGGTGATGGCTACCCCAAATCTTTCACACTTAGCACTGATTAACACATCAGTCTTCAGCAGCACTGGGTGTACTAAATAAGTTGGGCCACTTTCACTCAAGAACATAACTAGAAGATCATCGTCCTGTAGCGTGGCATATTTTAGGGGAGCACTACAACACTTAAAGTAGGCAGTTTAGACCTTTGACTTCAGATCACTGACTGAGCCATATGCTTCCAGTATACATAGCCTGAGAAATGGTATATAACTTTAATTCTCCAACCATTCAGACATTTCTGGGGCACATTGTTTTCTGCTCTTAAAGGAAAACTCTCTGTCATGTTCTAAAATAACTTCTTACTCCTTCTTAAAATGTCCCATAACTTTCCTACAAATCCTGTAACTGCCAAGTTGTGCCAAGAAAGTGCTTTCAAATAAGGCAGTCTTTACAGTAACGCACTACCCCTTTCAAAGCCACAGTTCTTCTTGACATTTATGTTTAACAATAAACAGTTTCCCTCTTTCTCCATTTCCCTGGCATAGAAGTCTCATAGGAAGAACAATTAAACTCTTAAAGCTTCAGCTATGAAGATGATCATCAGCATGATTAATAAACATTGTAACTTTATGACACAGGAAAACTATTATCAGGTACTGAGAAGGTCTTGAAATACACGTAATCCAGAGAATATTGGGGTTTATTCAATAGTTTAGCTATCAAAGATCGACGAGATAAGTGGGCAAAGAAACTGTATACAAATACAGTTCCCTCTTTCACTTTTCTCTTACCATCTTCATAACTAGGAGTGTGACTACTGAGTGACAAATTTCAGATTATGAATGTGTGAGTTCGGTTTTTCAAGTGGTAAATTCTTTATTTGTTTTCAATAGCTCTGAGAGAAAATCACATGGATGGCAGTACAATACTGCTATTTCATTAAGACGTCGAGAACAACAGCATGGCTGTAATTCATTATGGAGTTTCTGTACACTTTGTTGTGAAAGTGTTGATGAATTGATGATTTTGCCATAAAGCTGTCAAATACAGCAAACCATTCAATAAAGGCCTTTCTATGGAGTTGCACAGAGACACTCAGACTCTTTTCACAGTACTTCAAGCACAGCTCTCTTAACAACCAATTAAAGGATATAGCTTTTCTCTTTTAAAAAAATAACAGAACTTCGGCAATACTTCCTCTATAAATTATTCATACAGTTGTGGATGTGTTTTAGAAAACTACCAAAATAAATTTCAAAAGGAATTATTTAGTCCCAATAGTGTAATTATTGATCAAAATATTCTTCCCTGAAATGCTTATATTTATTGCTATTACGTATGTGCTTAATGTAACAGAACTTAACTAACCTCTTAAATGATATTTTGAGAGTTCATTGCTGAAGATGTGTGTTACTGTGTTCTCTTATAATCTTGAAAAGGGAGTCTTTAGTGAGTAAGAGATTATGTCTTCATACGATATATAAATATTCATTTTCATACCTCCTCTCTATCACTTGTACAGCCAGCAACACCACGTTATAAAATTGGGATGTAAATTACTTGCAAAGTTAAACCTCAGAAAGGTTCTTCACAATTATCTTTTGCATGTGTATGAACACAGCCGTCGGAAGGTCTGCTATTTAAAGTTTCTAACATCTCCAGTATCTAGCAAGATCAGAAGTATATTTCATAATTACTTTGGTATTTCTGGTTTTCTAACACTGTAAATTTGTTTTTGCTAACTCTCGGTATATTTGTATATTGACTTGTTACTGCCTTATTATATGTCTTCTATAGTCTCCTACACTGCAGAGGCACTAGTCCTGTCACAGCTGCTATGAGCTTCCCTATGAAACTATGAGACCTTGTATAGTCCCAACAATAAATACTTTGCTTAGTCTAAAATTATTTCATTAACAATAAGACAAACTTTGGGAGGCGCTATTCAACAGCCAGACATGTACTTGAAAGAACACAGACCTGCTAATGATCTCTGTCTACTGCATTGTAAGCAGAAGCTTTACAGCCAAGGACATTGACACTTTCCACATAGAAAAATAATTGCTCTATTAGGGCAAAAACGAATCTTGTGTACAGTAAATTCAGAATAAATCAATGAGTTTGGCAGTTCTTATAAATGAAATCTAAAGAAATCATACTGTAAAATACATTCACCACACTACTAGCCACAGATGCAAAGCTCTAATGTAGTTTGTTTGCCCTATATTCTTTCACGTTTTAGAGTCTGGTAGTTCGCTTTCCTTTTTTGCTATATAAGAAAGAAGCATTTAAACTATAAGGCAATTTCACTTGAGGTGAAGTGCAGTTTTCCAACAGAAGGAAATTTACTCATGCATACAATTCATATTAGGGTTTATGGGAAATACGCTTGCATTTCATGTGAAGTCTACAATTCTTATTTTCAGAAGACTTGTCTCATGGAATAAAAATTAAAATTTATACTAGAAAACACTGATAGGAGAAATACATCTATTCGCTTTGAACAGAGCTCTAAAGTTAAGGTTTATGTACAGACCCTATCTCAATTCAACTGAACATTTACTTCTAAAATTAATCTGCATGTCAGACATTTACTTCTAAAATTAATCTGCATGTCAGACAGGAACTGGTTCTTATGTAACATGCAAGTGATATCCATTTCTTCTCAAACTTCAAATAAAATAAATATAGCTTTCCTCTCTCAATAACATTATGTTTCAAGGTCACAAAGAGAATAACAGTTAAGCAATGTTGTTATTTTATATAGCATCGAGTCTATAGCACAGTAGCTACTACCAACAGTGGAGCCCAAACTTGTTATATAATTTTGCAACATCATGGAAAATATTCATCTGATGGCAAAAAAAAATGAAAGAGGTCATGAATATTTTTTCAGAATTATGGGATAAGAGAAGTTTAGCCTATATCTACACCCAGAAAGTCATCCATTCCAGAAAATAATCCCTGGCCTCCAGGTCAAGATGCACAGAACTGTCTGCATCCACACTGGTCATAGCTAACTCTACCTGAAGTGGACTGGCTGCGTTCACACGCATAGCATTTGGCCTCTAGATGCCACATGGCACCTCCAGGATCCTAAGATATTAATTTTGTGTGTTCCTTAGTCCGGAGCACTCAAAATAATAACCAAAGAGTTGTAACAGTCCATCACAGAGAGCTGTTTTAATAACATGATCTTGAGAGTTTGTGTTTTACGCTACGGTGAAGGGCGCAAGGACATGAAAGCATCCAAGGGTGACACTCCTACTTCTCTAGCACTGGAGGATTTTGTAAGACAGAGAGAACAAGACTTGGTCTACTCATCTTTACATCTCAGGCACAGACAATTGGTTTATTCCTAAAAGGGATGCCAGGAGGGAAGAACTAATGCAGACATAAACATTATCAGAATACTAGGACTTGTGAGTGAACTCAGGGGGATATAACAAGAGGTTGTGACTGTCACCACTGGGGATGGAACTGAAAGCTCCTTACCTCATGGCTACACTCTACTAATTCTTTTTTTTTTCCTTTAAGAATAAATGTATTTTATTACCTACAGTGAGCACATTCTGTATTTTATGCACTGCGTTTTTAACAGTGAAGACAAGCAATATGAAATTAAGACAAAAAAAGAGAAACAGATAATCACTTTCACTTGCATTTACTCTATATGTAATTTAGGAAACCTGTATGAGAACTGCCTCCTGATAGAACTCTCCTTCTCATGGTAAATACATGGAGTGTCTGAAAAATGCTATGCTTATCAAGTATCACAATATCTTGCGAATTTCCCGAGCATCATATGAGAGTAGAATCACCACTCACTGCGGTCAGTAATTATTGTTCTGGCCTCTTGATTGCTGGTCTTGTTTTTTAAATTTTGTGCTGCAGTTATGAGTTCATCCAGCTGGGGACGTCTTTGCTCCAGATCCTGTAGTATTGCCTGGTTACACACAAATACAAAAACAAAACAAACAAACAAAACATGTAGAGCTGTTGAGAAGACCGTATATAGGGAATTTTATTTTTGCCAGTTTGATTTAAAGAGAAAGATTTTTTGCTGCCTCAAATAATATGAAGAATTTGGTCTAAACCTTCAAAGTATGGTCACTACTCTTTATATAAAAATCAAGCATAATTTGAAATGATCACTAAAAAATAACCTATAAAGCTAAATATAGAATAACAATCATTTCTCATTTTTTTAACAAACCAAATTATGCAAGAGTAAGCTATTTCCCTCTATAAAGCTACAGAAGGGACATTACTCTTTTATATTCTCTTAGGTTTTACAGTGTATCTTTTTAAAGATACAGGAGTTTACATTCTTATCATATTACACAGGATTTTTCTAGTAGCTCATGATAGCTAACTAATAATTTCTTAATGTTTTACAACTGTCTAATTACTCTTTATTGGTTTAAAGCCAATGTAAGACTAGATAGACTAGATATAACGAATGAGAAGTCAACAAAAGTACGGTATATAAGATGTATGCATCTAAATCTGTCAGTTTAACTTATATGAAAGGATTAGGGAAGACCAAACAGGAAATCAGTTCAATGCTTTCCCAGATAAGATGCATCTAAGCATCTATTTGAAAGACATGGACCAAATCTACCAACTTCAAGTTCCTGTCCTTCATTTTCCAGAAAATATGGTAGGTAGTTTTTCCTGACCTCGAAGGTGGATATAGCAATATTGATTATTAAACTATTAAAAAGTGACTTTGTCCTGTCCACCATTTTGAGTCACCAGGACAGAACAGTATGTTGTCAGATAGCTAGTAGCAATGGTATAGTAGCTACACAAGCTGACAAGAAAGATCAGTGGAGAATATTTCTTTTCAGGATCCTCATGTGGACAATGGTTAGAAAACCTGTAAGCATGCTCACCTGTTTATAGATTATGTATATGAATTGTTTCATTGGTCTAAAAATCTTTTTTCCCTTAGAACACTTTTATCCTTAATAATCGTACTTTATTTTAAAAAGCTGTTGCTCACTGACTGCTCTGCATCAAAAAGACCTGTAGAATCTGATCTTAAATCTGGCCATCTAACCTGGGATTAAAGAGTTACATAATTTCACCAAATTGAAGGTAAGAAGTAAAAAAAGAACATGTGAATATCACTTCCAGTAACTACAGCACATATAATCAGTTTCATTTCTATTCGTTTAGAACTCTTCAGAAAGGAAGGCAATTCTCAAGACACAACCATAGCTGTATCATGTAAAATTCTTGCCTTTAACTTCTGTATCGTTAGTTCTCTGCAAATCTTTTATAACTAGCTTTCTAAACTCATGCCCAAATAAGTTTGGGTGGTACTTTCACTTATGCACTAATTGCATTGCATGCAAACACATGCAGTTAAATCACCAGCTTTCATGATTAAAGGAAGAACAAATGTCTCATTAGAAGTCTCTGTTTAGTGAAAGCACTCAAGCAAAAGGCATAAATATACTGATGCAGTTACTGCTTCTAGATATCTGTGTGATTCAACGGGACTCCATTTTCTGGAAAGACAAGTTACTAGTGACATGACTTTTACGATACAAGAGTCAGTCCCATTTCTGCCTAACTACACCTGCATTATACACACTACTAAAATGGACTGTGCAGAAGGAACATAAAAACACAAATATGCTTGGTAATTGTGTGGCCTCCAAAGTAATACTTCCTCTCTCTGCTTCCCTTTCTCTCTCTCTCTCTCTTTCTCCCCCCTTCCTCTACCTAGAAACTGTCTGGAAGAGGAAAAGTAAATGCAATTATCTTAAGGTCTTATGCCAGTAGTGACTCCCAAACTGTTCCCTAATGTTCCCTGAGTACATCTTTCATACATTGTACACTGAAAGCAAAATGATCTATTGGCTTCAGCTTGAACCCCCAAGCAGAGAGTAAATACTATGTTCGCACTATGGAAAAAAGCTTCTGCTACATGAAATTGAGAAAGAAACAAAGTAATTGGCAAGGACTGCTCAGTAAGGACTCAGTGAGTAGAAAAACGAGTGACTGGAAACGATATGTACTAAAACACTGTATAGAACGATTTAAGCACAAGGCCCACCTATATTTCTTGAACTGGAAACTCAGGAAAAAGAAAAATGGCAACACCTCTTTAAAGTGACATTTGCTAGCTCTACTGTTTTCTCAGGGAGATGACAATCTTGTACAAAATGGACTTTGAAGGCATCTTTCCCTCTGCCATTTATCATGAGTAAAATTACTTGCTGTTGGTTGTAACAAAGGATACTTTTGAAAGCTCTAAAAGGACCTCTTGGAGTCCTTACAGCACTATGAACAGGTCTCAAGATTCTTGGACCTGTCAGGAGACAGTAATATATAAATATAGAACAGATGCTTTTTTTCCTGAGTCTTAGAAAAATGATCTCTCAAAATAATGAGAAAAACATTGTTCTTCAAATTAATATATTCCTTTCCCTGATTCAGTACAGTCTATCTAGAACCGTACTCAGTCAATTCCTGGTACAATTTTAAGGTCTCAGTAAATGCACACTCCATGTGGAATCTGAGTTCCATATAAAAAACCCTGACGGAAACCACAGCAGAAACAGCTGCTAAAATATATCGTTCCTGAGTCTTCTGTGATCCTGTAGCATAAAAGTAAACAGCACGCGCTTAAGCTCTACTTATCTTGAGGTATTATCATGTTCAGAAAAATATTCTATGATTGAATAGAATAACCATGCAAACTGACTTTGTGTATAATGAAAACACCAATAGTTATATTAAAAAGAGATATGTTTTAATAAATATAGACTAAAAAACCGACAAAATATTAGTTTGAGAAAAAATATTTAGACAATTTTAGAGTATTAGCTGAAATTATCTGGATTTCAGAAAATGAAATCAGAGGCAATACATATATCGAGATACTCATAAAAACTGCTACAAATCTAGCCAAATATTCAGTGTTAGAAAACTGGATCTTTAAGTGGAAACTCAGTGGAAACTATTAGAAGACATTTTTCCAATGGTCAAGGGAAGAAAAACTCATTAATAGTGACACCCTGGTAGAGGCACAGCAGATGCAACAAACCAGATGCCTCTGATTCAGAATGCCCGCACACCAAAAAAAATCTTCTGTGTTATTTAATAATGGATAATACAAAAATAAAACGTCTTATGAAAGGATTTTCAAAATAAGTTAAACAGAAATCTATTTAGTCCATATCAGCCCACAGAAAACACTGGTACAAAGAGTAAGAGAGTCATAGACACTGAAAGAATTCTTATGTTATAAGCACTTGTGTTCCTGTCCATACAATATGCTTTTATTTTCACTTACCTAATATTCTGTAAAAGCACAAGAATGCATATTGCAAAACATTATAGGCTACATTTTAATCAATAGATTTCCTGTTAAATAATAAATGTAGTATAACCTGAGTAGGTCAACAATGAACAAGGATCACTGTAATCCAAGGTCGCAGAAATATACGTCTTTACACCCCTAAAGAGTAATTTTTTTCTTCCATATACCTATGAATGCCAACATAATAGTACTTGGTGACACTGTAATAATGGAAAGGTGAGATACAGTCGTCAAACCTGCCTATATTTTGTTAGAAAGTGGTGTAATTCACTTTCAACAATCTTTCCACATCTGTGGACAGCAGGTGCTCAAAAGAAAAATCTAATTTTCAGGTTCCTAACTTTTATGGTTTATTTACACAAAAGGAGGGTTGAGATAAGGAACAAATTCTTTAAGTCAGAAACTGAAATAGCTTGCATAAAAATTGCTAAAGAAGAAAGTGAAAAAACTGAAATAGGTGAAACGTGACAAATTCTTGGTGGAACTGGAGGGATTAAGACAGGGAATTAAAGCATTCATTAGCTTTATAATGTATAGCATGCTACAAACGGCATACTTGTCACTCGAGCCATGTGTGCTGTAGCTTATATAAAATAATCACATGACCTCTATAATCTATCCCTTTTTTTTATAGTTCTATCTTGATTTGATGGCAAACTTTATTAAACTGGAATATCTGAATTACATGACGATGTCAAATCTTAAGTGTTCAGCTAATCACTTGCTGGAGCTGATTATGGGTGTTGGCTATTTAGTATCAGAAGTAACTTTTCTCACAGCACAAACAGGATTTTGCTCCACGTCAAATGTAAACAAAAGCTAAAGTTGGTGTTCTGTAACAATCTACATGGCTGTGCTTGGGTCTACATGTTTCTTTAGAGAGATTCTGGGCCTGCTTCATACCTCTTTTACATAAGTGTAAGTTGAAAAAATGTCTCTGAAAACAATGGAATCAAAATGCCATAAAAAATGAAAGATTATTGGGTAAAGCAGGTCCCACAATTTCTTTTCAGTGTTCATCTAAATGGTCCTCTGCAGTGGTAATGAGTATCATGTCTTTGCAGATTTCTGAAGTATTTACATGCCACCAGTCACATATAGCTTGCTGTCTGTTTTTTTTGCTTTTTTTCCAGGTAAGAAAGCTAACAGTGATTGAGCCAAAGATTATGTTTGAGCAAAAAGGAAATTTAGAACAGACTTTCTGCATTAAGAGCAAACTGGAAGCATCATTTTGCCATAATCAACACATGGCCAAAGACTGAATCTTCCCAACTGTTTCTGATGTTTTGTTTTGGCCCACGACCAACCTTGTTTAATGACATGATCAAGTGGACCACAACTGTCCCAGTGGACCACAAATCCATACAAAAGCATACAAGCTCAGAAAACGTAAATATGTAACACCTACAATTCATCTGCATAATAAAATTGGTTTTGTTAAGCTATTCCACCCAAGCACGATTTGAAATTTTTTTCTTGTCAGTAAGCAGAAACAGAATATGAGAGAAAACAATCCCTTACACACTCTCTATGTTTAAAGATAAAATTATGAAATAATGGAAGTACGTAATCTGGTTTGGCAGAGTGTCCTTTTTAAGATAAATTTC